GATCTGCCAAGCACTGTGCATGACTGACCTCTTCCCTGCGAGCCAGAGAGATCCACGGGGGCAGAGACCAAGTCTATCTCGGCCATCACTGCCCCCCTTCCCCGGAGCACCCGGCTTGCCATGGCCACCTGCCTGCCACACCATTGTGGGTGCTTCGTAAATACACACTGAATGCATTAATGAAAAAGCAAATGGCTGTCTCAACAATAGAGAATGGTTTGAAAAAAAGGTCTTTCTAGATTTCAACAGAGATAGCAAGAAAAAAATTCAATAGCAGTAGGCAGAAAAGCAAACGTGTGCGTAGAATTGCCTTCCACAGTAAAATCCACAGCGACTAAAATTAAAACATGATAGTGCCTTCCCAAGCTAATGTTTTTTGTTTTTTGTTTTTTTTTTAAATGAAAGAAAAAAATACAGCAAGTAAACTACCCATATTACCAGGGGTCAGCAAACTATGGCCCACAGATCCAATCTAGCTCACTGCCTATTTTTGTATGGCAAGCTAATGGTTTTTACTTTAAAATGGCTGGGAGTGGGGGAAAGAAACTCAGAAGAGGAACATACGTACGATGCGCAAGAGCGATACGAAATTCAAGTTTCGGTGTGCACAAATCAAGTGTGACTGGAGCACAGCCAGGCTGATACGTTTCTGCATCATCTATGGCTGCTTTCACACCACAACGGCAGGGTGGTGTTACTGCAACAGAGACCAGACGGCCTGTGGGGCTCAAAATATTTACTCTCTGGCTGCCTACCAACCAGGGTGCCAACCCCGGCTGCACACCAGTGATCCTCACGGGGTGTGGTGCAAACCTTGCAAGGAGGCTTTCTGGAGTCACTTTGAGGACTGGTACGTGAAAGCCGGTCTGGAGGCGTGTAGCCGGCCTTCTCCGAAGTCCTGCCTCATGTTTGAGAAGCTGCTGCTAAAATGAACGGGGGCGGCTGACTCTGATGATACAGTCCAAATGTGAGGCGCAGCCCGATGCTGGGGACGTTGGTGACAGGCGGAAATCAGAAATGATGTCTCTCCTCCCCCTACCCACCTCCACCCACTCCCCTCCCCAAAACCCACTGAATACTGTAACTATTGTTCTCTTCCCAATCCTTACCGACACACCAATGTCAGGACAAGTTCTAAATAAATACAACTGCCTGGGTCAGGCGTCGGCAAACTTTTTCCGGAAAGGCCAGATCGTAAATATTTCGGGCTTGCAGGCCACACCATTGCCGCTGCAACTACTCCGCTCTGCCGCTGAGACACAGAGGTTGTCACAGACAACATACAGACGAATGGACCTGGCCATGTTCCAATAACCGTGACTTCTGGCCGCTGAAATGTGAGTTCACATAACTTTCCTAGGTCACAAAATATTCTCCTGATTTTTTCGCCAAACATTTAAACCTGCATAATTTGCTGACCTCTGATCTGTGTACCGGTTCAGTGTGGTTTCCCAAGAAGCTTCAATCTTTTCTAATCACTCCCAATTCTTCTTACTTTGAAGGGGGATGTCTGCGTGTTCCCAACTTGCTCTTCTGAAGGCAAGTGGCGCCGCTAGCTTTTTGGGATTTCACCAGCTCTGAGCCACTCTCAGCCCGAGAGTAAAGGCTCACCTTTTACCACTCAGTCCCTCTCTCCCCAGGGATGGCAAACACACGACCCGAGAGCCAACACTAACTTCAAACATCAGTGCCTTCCCACTGCCCCAAGATTGTGGTGTTGATGGCTTTGGTTGACGAATCCACACAAGAGCTCATAATTCTGTTGGTTTTTCATTTAAACAATCACACTTGGGTGTATCAAAAAAAAAAAGGGGGGGGGGAGACATGGAGAGAATTTTTAATAAACTGATTTGAAATGCTGGTTACCTGCAAATATTTAAGTGCATGTTTGAGAAAGAATATAAACTATGACCAATCAATTGAGGCGTCTCAATACGGTCTACAGGGCAAAGACATACATGGTCACCGACTGCAATGAAATTTATATTTGCAGGGAAATGACAGCGGCCAGATGCATTCTGCCGGGAACCAGATTTTGAGCAACGCTGTCCTCTCCTGGTACAAGCCTTTACAAAACCCACTTGAGCCTCTGTGCCCAGTCTGGACACACTCGTCTGATTTCACAGTGAGCCAGGGAACTACTGGGTGACTTTTTCCTGTTCTGTCTCATTAGATTAGCTGTCTTCTTAAATTTCTGGGCAGTGATCTGAAGTCTACCTAACTGGATTTTAAAAGTAAAGGAACCTATGACACTTTATAAATGAAACAATTTGTTACACATTCCAAAAGTAGTTTTAAAAGACTTAAAAGAGGGTTTATAGACTTCTAAAGGGAAAGTATGGGAAAAGAAAAACAGAAGACCCCTGCATTAACACTGAAAAGGAAAAGGGTAGTTTTCAGAGGGAAAATGATCAAAGTATTTTGGTAATAGGATGGGTGAAATATACCTAATACCTATTTGTATATACCTAACACATATACCTACGTACATAATTGCCTTCATGTTTATAGCTTTCCTAAGATTAATACCGTTTACTTTTTACCTTAAACAACAATAACAAAACCCTGATGGCTCTTAACTGAATCTCTATATTATTATTTGAATTCCAGTCAATAAGATGAAAGGTTATATTCTCAGATAAACGGAATTGGGTTTTATTGTCTTCCTACGCACGTAAGCTTATCCCACAGCTTTTTGTTTGGTCAGTTGGCCTTTTTCCCCCTCTGGCACACGAAATGGAATCTATTTGCTGTCCCTGCTGTAACCATGTGCTCCACCAACAATTTCTGCTCGTGGCAAAGTCGGAAGGAAGCTCGCTGCCGGGGACACTGTGCAAGTCCCTGCAGTGGTCTCCCCAGGGGAGTCATTTAGATAGTAAACCTGCTTGGGCCTGAGGGCAGCTCAGTTTGAGATTTCAAAATGTACTGAAGCAGGCAGAAATATGTGAGAAATATTTTGTAAAGGATCTCAATGCGGACAAAGCATGTGGAGCTAAATCCTATCGGG